AAACCAGGCTCCTGGAATATAGAAGTGTAAAAGCTACTTTGATTTTTTTGAATGTTGAAAGGAATACACAGGGTAGTTGCAGGTAATTTTTTTCTCTGCTGGTGAAGGAGTCCAGGACAAGGAGACATCAACTTAAAATCAGGGCCAGGGCCACTGAAGAGGAATCAGGAAACACTTCTTCATGCAAAAAGTGGTGGAAGAGTGGAGCTCTCTGCATTCAAAAGCAGGAGCTATTAGTTCATTTAATCATTTGAAGTTAAGATTGATAGATCTTTGTTAGCATATGGATGATAATGGAATAGTTTAGGTTAGATGGGCTTCAGATTGGTTTCACAGGTCGGTGCAACATCGAGGGCCGAAGGGCCTGTACTGCGCTGTAATGTTCTATGTTCTATGTTCTATGTTCTAGCCAAGGACCTGAACGTATGAAGAGACAAGGCAGCTGGACAGGGTAGAGATACAGATCAGCTGTGATCCCACCAGATGCTGGCAGAAAAAGCTTGCCAGGATGAATAACCAAACTTATTCTAATGGACCTGCATCCAGAACATTTAAAAGTTGTTCACTTACAGGTTTAATTTGTTTTCCTTTTGCTATTTTTGTTTGTTTTTGTTACATTTGGTTGTAGCTTTTTCTTTTGTTTTTCAGTTTCAGTCTTTTTTTTTCATTTCACCAGAGGTACTGAGCCTCAGGAAAGATGCATTGGCTGTCACAATAGTACAGTTTGGGTTCAATAGACTGTCAGGGTTTAGAAGATTAAATAATGACGACAGATTAGAGAAACATTGCTTCTATTCCTATTGATTAAAAGTTAAGTAGTAATCTTATTTAAAGTGATGATGATACAATAGAGTAGATAAGGATAAATAATTTCATCTGGTAATGACTTCAGAGCTGTTGTGATGTAATTTTAATCCATTTAGGAGTGAAATCAGTCAATAGTTTTTAATACAAGGGTAGTGAAAATGTAGTACTGTATCTCCAAAAGTTTGCAGTTACTGCTTCAACTGGAATTTTCTAGACTGTAATTGGCATTGGATTTTAAAGCCATATCTTCCTGAAATGTGGGCAATTTTAAATGCAATGAACAACTGTAAGGTTCTACAAAAGCTTGGCTTTGGCATGGGAATGTGTGACCATGTTTCTGGCTATGCCCAATTGTAATTAATTTCCATATTTCAGACAGAGGCAGCTTATGCTGACTTCATGAGGTGAATTTGAACCTAGATCCGCATTACAAATCTGCAATACCCAGGTTTTCATCACTATCGTTCGAAAGAAAACACAATGTTACAAGCACTTGCCTTTCAGAGGGTTCTCAATTTTGACTTGGAGTTTATAGATAGCAAATATGGAGAGTGTTCAAAGCTTTCAATGCTGAGGAAGCTGCAAGTAGTGGTTAGATTTAATTAATTTCCATTCATTGGCTTTCTGTGCAAGATTAAGTCAATTTGAAGAAATCTATTTCCTCAGTCTGTATATCTAAATCAGGAGGATATAACTGTCAGTAACACTGATTGTCCAGCAGGGGGAGTGATATTTAGCTAGGAGGAAACTTGCTGGATCTGGTGGTGGGAATCAAGTGAGCGAAGTGGAGGAGGATATTTGAATATGAATGATCATTATATCATTAGAATTAAATTAGCAACGGAGAGCAGCCAGAAATAACCAAAAATTGATCTTCTAAATTGGAAGAGAGCTAATTTCAATGGGGTGATAAGGGAACTCGCCAGAGTAAACTGGAACCAGTTTAAGAGGAATAACTGTAGTCGATTAATGCCTAATCTTTGAAGGAGAAGATGTTTTGAGGTACAGTCTAGGCACATACCAACAAGAGGAAAAGTCAGAGAAACCAAAGCCAGCGCCTCTTGAATGATGAGGGTGATAAAGAATATAATAAAAATGTAGGATGTATGTCAGGTGAATTCTTGTAACAGGACCAAAGCCAAATAGACCAAGTTGAGAGTGGAAGAGGACAATAAGACTGTCAACCAGATAATATGAGAATAGAATACAATGATCATAAAAGGTAACCCAAAAATCCTCTATGTGCATGTGAAGTTGAAACAGGTGATGTCGAGTTGTTAAGGACTATATGATGATGTATGTTTAGGGATGTGGGGCAAGGCTCAAGTAGTTCATAAGTATTGGTGTTTAATAAGGAAGAGGAAGCTGACAAAATATTGGTAGAGGGGAAAATGAGGTAATGGATGGGATGAAAATTGATCAGCAGCATGTACTGGAAAGACCTAGTTCTGACGGATTGTATCCCAGGTTGCTAAGGCAAGTTGGGGTCGAGATAATTGAAAGGTTACCTTCTCTGACTGTAGTGTATGTGCCAGAGGATTGGAAATGAAGAAATATGACACAATTGTTTAGTAAAGTATGTAAGGAAATTCATAACAGCTACAGGCAGGTTAATTGGTGCATAAGATTTTATACACAGAAATCAAGGAAAAATATCGACAAGTATTTTGGAGAAAGGGAGGAGGCTGAGAAGAGGGCGTGAGGGAGAAGGAGTGTTTACAGAATGGCCTGGGAAGGATAACGAATCCGTGTGCATGCAAGGGAGTGATAGTAATTCATGTTAATAGGGTTAATGGCAGGATTCTCGGCAGTGTGGAGAAACAGAGGGATCTTGGGGTCCACATCCACAGATCCCTCAAAGTTGCTACACAAGTTGATAGGGTTGTAAAGAAGGTGTGTTGGCTTTCATTGGCAGGGGAATTGAGTTTGAGAGCCGTGAGGTCATGCTGCAGCTCTATAAAACTCTGGTTAGACCATACTTGAAATATTGTGTTCAGTTCTCGTCACCTCATTACAGGAAAGATGTGGAAGCTTTAGAAAGAGTGTAGAGGAGATTTACCAGGAAGCTGCCTGTACTGGAGGGCAGGTCTTATGAGGAAAGGTTGAGGGAGCTAGGGTTTTTTTCATTGGAGCGAAGAAGGATGAGAGGTGACTTGATAGAGGTGTACAAGATGATGAGACACATAGATAGAGTAGATAGTCAGAGACTTTTTCCCAGGGCAGAAATGACTATTACAAGGGGGCATAATTTTAAGGTTATTGGAGGAAGGTATAGGGGAGATATCAGAGGTAGGTTCTTCACATAGAGAGTGGTGGGCGTGTGGAATGCGCTGCCGACAGTGGTAGTGGAGTCAGATACTTTAGAGACTTTTAAGCCACTCTTGGATAGGCACATGGAGGATCGTAAAATGTAGGGTATGCAGGGTAGATTGATCTTAGTAGGGTAATAGGTTGGCACAACATCGTGAGCTGAAGGGCCTGTACTGTGCTGTATTGTTCTATGTTCTATCTGAGGGGGGATAAAAGTATGGGAGTGGGGTTGATAGGAAGAAGTGGGAGAGAAAGTATGTGCATATGAATCCTGAGTTTAAGTGAGCTGCTCATCTACCAACCCTTCCCCACCATCTCCTCCCTAATTACCTATCCATAATGAACGGCACAGTGTCTCAGTGGTTAGCACTACTGCCTCACAGCGACAGGGACCTGGGTTTGATTCCACCCTCAGGCGACTGTGTGTGGGGAGTTTGCATATTGTCCCCGTGTCTGCTTGGGTTTCCTCTGGATACTCCAGCTTCCTCCTGCAGATTCAAGATGTGCAGTTTAGGTGGGTGTGCCATAGGAAATGCTGAGTCCTGGACATGGGGTGGGTCTGAGTTGCTTTCACACCATAGGGGTTCTATGATTATATTCTATAAATAATTCAGGCTTATTGAGTGGGAACTCCCTGAATGAGGATAACTTCCAACCCCAATTCCCACATATATCCCGCTGAAGCTAGCTCGGAGTGCACAGCACCAGAGGCGAACACAAGGCCAGTGTTAGTTAAACCGAGTGTACCTCCGCTCCGGTCCTAACGCTTACCTCTGGCTGATCAGGACATTGGGGTGTAAATTGTCTCCCTCCACCGCTGCCCCTTAATGGAGATGCAAAGAAAGGTTTTGTTAGTTAGCTCTGCTGCTTGGCATTTTTAAATAACTATTTCTATTAATTGTTCCTTTATTTAAATAACCTGTTTATTGCTTTGGATTTCTTTTTGAAATTTGTGGTTTGCTGTTGTGCCAAACCTTATCTTTCCGAACTTAGCTCAGCGGACCGATATGAGAGAGAATTTGAAATGTAGCCCTTCGTGTTAAACCTTTACAACAACCCTGCGCTACGTGGAACAGGCATGGATTCCGAGGTACGAATGGCCTCTTTCTGTGCCATAATAACCTTGACTGAAGAATGTTCTGTAATCCTAGTGGTGTGTCTTAAGGACAGCTCCTCTATTTATTTCTCCACATCTCCCGATCTTTCCTCCTGATACGCTTAAGATCTATTTTCAATGTCAATGTGCAATATGACTTGGTTTCCCACTGCCTCCCTCATTAGTGTTTTAGACACCCTCTGCTCCTGTGATCAGTGTTATCCCTTGCACTTCTAACTCCCTGCCAGCGAAACTCTCGTTCCGCCGGTCAATAATCCTGACCCTAGTGGAAAGGCAGGGATGGTCAGGCACCTGGGGTTTCAAACCAGCCCACTTTAACGCTGTAATCCTGAGGTTTATTTCCCAATTTCAATCCCTGCAAACAGATCAATCAGAAGGATGGATGACAAAAACAGAATAGAGTTAACAAAATAGAGTTAACGTTTCGGGTTCGGTGACCCTTCCTCAGAACTTTGTTTTTGTTCCTGATTTACAGCATCCGCAGTTCTTTCGGTTTTTATTTAAAAGAATGGATGAGTTGCATTTTCTAGGACTGGAGAAACTGCACAAACTTTAAACAAGAAAGAATTGCCTTTATATGACACTTTTCGCAACAATCGGATGCTTTATATAAAAAAAACCCTTCATTGTTTGGAAAATCCCGCGCCAGATTTAAATACACGCTCAGGCTTTCCATACCCAACTCACACGAGTTGAGCGTCAGCAGCAGATTGAGGTTGACATAAACCCACTAGGTGGAGTTAACTTTCAGTGCTGTCTAGCCAGTTACTTACTGCGGGGGCGCCCACATCCTTGTGTGATGCCAGAGGGTATTTCAGTGTGAGCCTTCCCCCTACACTCAGCATAACGTTTCTTCGATTCTGGAGAGAAAAAGAAACTGGCGTCAGGCGATGGAGTCCGAAAACATCGAGCTGAACGGTGATCCGAGTAACGGCGGCAGAGCGGGGGATGTAGGAGAGGTAGGAGCGGCTTTTTCACTGAGTGGCTGCAGATACACACACACACAGTCCGCTTTGTGGACAGTGCGGCGAAGCCGGAGCACAGAGCGGACCCCAAACCACCCCGAGCTGCTGCCGGCCTCACCACTTACTGCTCCTGGCCAAAGGTGGACATGTTTAACTTTAGTTCTGAACATTAGGCCCTATTTTCCCACCGCTCTATTGTAATATGGAGATTATAGAAACTGCGGCAGGGAATGTAAATATTGCATAGAATAACTCCGAATGAACGCGTCTGTAAAATGTTTCATTTGAAACTTAAGAATGGTCCAGAGGTGTTGCAATCGGTTGACACTGGGAGTACTTTCCCAGGTAACGGGCACAAAGACAGGTATCTGGAGTAACAATTGATCGTACTCCTGGTACTGAGTGAATGGAAAAAGCTGATTAGAACAACTTTGTGAAATGCATTTCAGTTTCTTGCTAATTTCATCAAAAGTTTTAGATATTAATCGATAAATGTTAAATAGAAATAATTCTTCATAAACAGAGTGTAGATTTGCGCCACTACCATTATTATCCTATGAATCCTGAGAAATTTGAACTGTTGGTAGAACTTTTATTTTGACAGCCCACATTCTGTGGTCGGAGGCATTCACATTTCATTTTGTGGACAACAGGTGTCACAATCTACATATGTGACCGGTGTAGTTTATGGATTTTCATTTTCATGCACACACAGTATGTGGGTGTCAGTGGCAAATGGGCATTTATTTGCTCGCCCTCCAGTTATAACTGAGTGGTTTTCTGAGGTCAGTCTGGATAAAGACAGCAGGTCTCCTTTTCTAAAGAACATTAGGGAGACTGTTTCTGTTTCAAAAACGTAAATATAAATAAAAATTGCTGGAAATACTAAGCAGGTCAGGCAGCATCCACGGGGATAGAGCTAATGTTGGAGATTGAAATGACCTTCCGAGTTGTTTTTTGTTTTTGTTTCTTATTTCCATCATTTGCAGTATGTTGTTTTTGTATCTGTCTTATTCATTTATTAGCTATGTGTGTCACTGGTTATTTGCCAAATCCTAATTGTCATTGAGCAGATGGTGCTGTGCCACTTTCTTAAAAAAAGAAAAGCCCTTTTGGAGTGTAGTTAAGTCTCTATCACATTGTTAAGGGTCACATTGTCCAAACAGGGCCAGAAAGGCCAATTCTCTTATCTAAAGGGCATTACCTTTGGGGATTGGTTAGCTCAGTTGGCATGATGCTGGTTTGCAAAACAGAGTAATGTGAACAATGTGGGCTCCTTTCCTGCACCAGCTAAGGCTACCATCTCCTTATCAACATTTTCCCTCGCCTGAGTCATGGTAACCCTCAGGCTGAACCACCACCAGTCATCTCTCTCTATGAAAGAGAAACCCTATGGCATCCTCTAAGACTGTGGCAACGCTACTTTAGAATATAACAAACTGATTATCTACTGTTCTAAATCACTTTGTCTTGCATCCTAACAGATGAAATTACAACTTCACAGTTATATCATAAATGTAAGTGATTTGATTCTTTTGTGCATGTCTGTGGGCATGGAGGTTTATTCTTTTTCGAGTATTTTGATGACAGCAACAACCAAAATTACCATCAAAAATCAAAATGAGGTATTGTGTGAAACAAAGTAAGTCATTGGTACATTTTTTTTCTTCTCTCTAAACTAAGACACTTGTCAAACCTAAGAGGTGGAAATCTTTTTAAAAATCAATGGGAATAATTAAAGTATGTGAAATAATAAGCACAGTGTAGATCCAGAAGTATTAGTTAAAATTAATTGTTTAGACAAGATGATATCAAAAAAGAGGAAGTAGAGGTCTTATTTTAATCGATGGGCAGCTGAGGTTTGTTTGCTGTTCTAGTCCCATTTTGGAACTTCAGATCCCTTTGTGTTTTTGGGACCTTTTTTTGACAGAGTGGCTCCAGCTTCTGCCATGAGAGCTCAGAATTTTCAAGTTAGAGGGGCAAGTGGAATCACAGCGGAGCATCAAGAAGGTTGAGTTTCCTGGATTGCATTACCTCATAGGGAGCATGAACTCAGGACAGTAGATGGCGGCCATCCTAAACAGTAGCAAGATTCAGGAAATGCAAGATTTTTGCGGCATGTCACACTCAAACTTGTATTTGGCATTGGAGAACACTTGAAATATTCCATTCCACACCATGGCGCTAATGGACAAGGGACAGCTAACAATAGAAATGCAGTCAGTTGTTCTCGAGATTCCATAGTTAGGGGAACAGAACCATTTTTGTAATCTCCATTGTAAGTCTCACATGGTCTGTTGCTTCTTTAGAATCATACAATCCCCAACAGTGTGGAATCAGGCCATTTAGTCCATCAAGTCCACACCCACCTTCCAAAGAGCATCCCACCCCATCACTGTCACACTGCATTTCCCATGGCTAATCCAGCTAGCCTGCATATCCCTGGACAGCATTACTAATCCACCAAACTGCACATCTTTGGACTGTGGAGTGAAACCAGCATACCCAGAGGAAACCCATACAAACAGTTGCCCAAGGCTGGAATCAAACCCAGGTCCCAGTGCTGTGAGGCAGCACTGCTAACCACTGAACCACTATGTTGCCCATTCAGCTACCCTGCCATTTAGAGTTTAACAGATAGATATACAGAATCAGGCAGTAATGATTTTGTGTGATTTTACAACTGTTGTATTACTAAAACAATAGTTCAGCAAAATTATAACTTTCCAAAATTTCCTCCTGGATGCTCTCCATGTCCAGAGCCAATCCGCTACTGGGGGAAAATGTAGCTCTTAAGAGCAAGCTCCAAGGACAAGCATCTGCTCTCAATTAACTCTAGAGCTGTCCGAGTTTACTCTTAAAGAGGACTCTGTTTTTTACATTGTCAGACTCCCTTGTTGAAATTGTTTTTCTTAGTAGAGTTAAACAAAAAACTATCAGATTTCCAACTGTTACATAGCAAGGCGTCCATTTAGAACCTTTGACAATTTTTGAGGTGTTCCTCTTAGTGAAATTATCTGATAGTCGATCACTAGTATTTACCCACAAGTTTAGAGATTACTTTTCCTTCCAGCATCTGTTTGAACTGGTTACATCTGTAATTTTCTCACTGAACCTTCTTTGTACATTATCCCACAGTTTGACTATCAATGTAACATTATTTCGGGATTGTTTTCTTTTACGTACAGTATTTCCTCCAAGATCTTAAGACTAATAGAATTCCATGTCAATAACATTAACAAGAGCAAGAGTGTTGGCAGCTAATGTGATCTTCACCATTTTTGTTTTTTTCCCTCCCATGCCAAGGAGCACCTTTGCCTATTCTCTCCTATAGGAATAATTTGAAACGTTCTGTGTTGGAAGATCCATCTTCAAAATTTTCACATGAAGCGTGATTAAAAATGTTTATTGCCTTGTTATTGGAATCAAATAAAATTAAGAACTTCAGCATACGCTTCTCTGTTTTTAATTACTTTTAAAGCTCTATTCGTCCTCTAGACATCCTCCGCATTTAGATTTTTTACAGCAAGACTATCGTCCAGGAAAACAAAACTTGCATCTGGTGTTGTCTGTGTACTGACTAAGCTTTCCAGCAAGGCTCCTTAGCAGTTCCATCTCAGCCTTGGTAGCAGCCACATCTTCTGGTCCATGTCCAGCTTTGATTACTGCATTTTTTAAAAAATCGGAGTATGGTGCATTTAAATGAGTGAATAATAATAGAGCTAACAGTTGCTACAGCGAGTGCTAGAGGATTATCGTGTAGCATTCAAGGCACTTTTGGATTCTAGACAACAAGGTGCAGGGCTGGATGAACACAGCAGGCCAAGCAGCATCATAGGAGCAGAGAGGCTGACGTTTCGGGCCTAGACCCTTCATCAGAAAAGGGGGAGGGGAAGGGGGTTCTGAAATAAATAGGGAGAGAGTGGGAGGCGGATAGAAGATGGATAGAGGAGAGGATAGGTGGACAGGAAACAAACAGGTCGAAGAGGCGGGGATGGAGCCAGTAAAGGTGTGTAGGTGGGGAGTTAGGAAGGGGATAGGTCAGTCCAGGGAGGACGGACAGGTCAAGGGGGCGGGATGAGGTTGGTCGGTAGGAGATGGAGGTGCGGCTTGAGGTGGGAGGAGGGGATAGGTGGGAGGAAGAACAGGTTAGGGAGGCAGGGACGAGCTGGACTGGTTTTGGGATGCGGTAGGGGGAGGGGAGATTTTGAAACTTGTGAAATCCACATTGATACCATTGGGCTGCAGGGTTCCCAAGCGGAATATGAGTTGCTGTTCCTGCAACCTTCGGGTGGCATCGTTGTGGCACTGCAGGAGGCCCAGGATGGACATGTCGTCTGAGGAATGGGAGGGGGAGTTGAAATGGTTCGCGACTGGGAGGTGCAGTTGTTTATTGCAAACCGAGCGTAGGTGTTCTGCAAAGCGGTCCCCGAGCCTCTGCTTGGTTTCCCCGATGTAGAGGAAGCCACACCGGGTACAGCGGATGCAGTATACCACATTGGCAGATGTGCAGGTGAACATCTGCTTGATGTGGAAAGTCTTCTTGGGGCCTGGGATGGGGGTGAGGGAGGAGGTATGGGGGCAGGTGTAGCACTTCCTGCGGTTGCAGGGAAAAGTGCCGGGT